TGTTTTCTTTAAGGTCCTATCACTCCACAGGGAACTGGGTTCTTGGCAATACAGTCTGTCAGTGGCATAATGGTAAATACCTTGGATGTTGTATTTTACAGATTGTGTTTGAGAAATATATATGAATATGAAATATGTACATGAAACTTTTAAGTTGAAAATGACTCATTTTTAGTATTTATAGTAAACTTTGCTTTGCTTTTAATTTTCCTACATCTTTTTAAATAGGGTGTGGGAGTGGAGAAGAGGGAGGTAGAAGAATTTTAATGGTATTGATGACATTTTATATTTTTAGACATTTTTTGGACTGACTTTTCTAAAAATATTTAAGTAGTGCTCACCATGTGCTAACTGATATACAGGCATACCTCGGAGATATCATGGGTTCACTTCCAGACCACTGCAATAAAGCAAATACCGCAATAAAGTGAATCACAGGAATCTTTTGGTTTCCCAGTGCATATAAAAGTTATATTTACACTATACGTAGATATATCAGATACCAGCTACACATAGACTACCCATTAGTAAGGCTGGTTTAGCAAAGTATGTTGACACAGTCTTCATTTGATCAATCAGAGCAGGTTTTATTGGCCCCATTTAAGAAAAAACAGAATAATGAGCAGATGGAATCCTCCCTGGAGGTCCAAAATTTAATTTCTTAAACATTGTAACCAAATTTTTATATGCTTTTTCCTTCCAAATAGGTCATTGTTGTGAAATTATGTTACCATGAAATCACCCTCAGGAAAATACTCAAGACATTGTCATCAGTTTGTATTATAGTTTCAGATGGCTTTTGTTAAAGTACTGTTTTGCCTGTTCAGATATTCTTTCTTGTTCTTTCTTAGCTGATTGTAAATGAAAGGCACTTTGGTAGTTTATTGCATTACAGAGAATTGTAGTTTTTCTCTTGCTGATGTTAGTCCTATATTCAAATTTTGGGGGTTCCTTTTTAGCCTGATTTCCGGATAGCTGCCACAGGAGTTGTCCTTGATCTTGATAAATCCATAAAAATTGTGAAGAAGTTAAAGCTAACTGGTTTTCCATTTAAAATTTTCAAGAATACTTCATTCATTAAGGTCTGTATATCTGTATATTCACATGTTTATAAATGTATGTATTGTTAAAGGAGGAATGAAATACTTCTAAAATAAAGATCTAATGTTTTCGGAAAAGTATTTGAAATCTTTAATGAACTTGGTCTTTGATATTTTTAGTTTACTTTATATTGGTCTCTGTGTTACTTAAATATGCTCAGAAATCTTAAGGTGAAATAAAATAGAGATATTTAGTAATTGAGGCTATTACTTATTATTTCCATGTGAGACTATCCCAGAGCTAATCTTGAAAATATGTAATCTCATTCACTTGATTTTGTTTCCTACCTTTTTGGTTTGTGTTAAGATAGGGGGGAAATTATAGGTTTGTCAAACAGATCAGTAGAAAAATAGACAAAGTAGGTCGCAAAATACTTGTTGGCAAGGATACAGAGAAATGGACGCTCTGTTATGCAATATAATGTGGGAGGGTAGTTTGAGCAACATTTATTGAAAATTTCATTAGTGGGAGTGTTTTCAAAACACAGAGTTAAGATGATCGTAAAATGTTCTTATAATATAAGATAATAGTACCACTAGCATTTATCCAGCTCTCTTTATTTTTTGTGTGCACCTACATAGGTTACGAGCTGCAGTCCAGCCCTGTGAGATGACAGCAAAGGCTGTCTATGCCAGTTCAGTCCAATAAATATCTTTTTGATCATCTCTTCTACAGGGATATCAGTGATGACATGCTAATGAGTCCACAATAGAGTCTTGATTAATGTTATTTTGGGGAAAATAAAAAAGAGTTGTATTCTTTTTGATCTAGTAATTCCGCTTTTAGGGGGAAAAAACACATTTTGATTGTTTTATCACCCTTCAATGAATTGTTTTTTAACCAAGGATGCATTTATGAACTAAGAGGTAAAGTATCTGATTTTATGTGTATTAATTTTTTTTCATATACCTGTAGGGAATGTTTAATTCTGCCTTGGAAGTGGCCAAATTTGAAGGTGCTGTGATTCGAACTGTCAGTGGAATAAGAGGACAGATCAAGAAAGCGCTCCGAGCTCCAGAAGGAGCTTTCCGGGCCAGCTTTGAGGATAAGTTGCTGATGAGTGGTAAATACCCTCTGTGGTGTGTCCATAACAGCGTGTTACCATTCACTATTGATTTCTAGCCAATGTAGGTTAGAGGTTGTAGTTTAGGTCTTTAGAAAATCAGAGTCGGCTCCAGCGCTCCCCAGTTGGGGCATCTTGTGCAGTGTGCCAAGTCACGCTGTGTCTGGAGCCACGTGATTCACACCTAGTAAAAGTTCTGTGATATTCAGGAGTAGTTCATTTGGTGAAGTCTCTCTTCAAACACTGTGCTACCAGCTACAGAAGTTTGGGGTGAATGTTATGTTCTTTTGTGTGACGAGCTGGATATGAATCTTCTTTTGAAAATTTTAAAGTAAATTTCCTCTCTTTCCAGATATCGTCTTCATGAGAACTTGGTATCCTGTCTCCATTCCAGCCTTCTATAACCCAGTAACATCTTTGTTGAAACCAGTTGGTGAGAAAGACACCTGGTCAGGAATGCGAACAACTGGTCAACTCCGCCTCGCCCATGGTGTCAGACTAAAGCCCAACAAGGATTCTCTGTATAAGGTATGATCATGCATGTGCCCTGTAGACTGGGGTCATCCAGATGCTTTGTACATAATGTTCTCTATGCTTTGAATTTTCTAGTAGAAAGTCTAACATTAAATTTGAAAGAACATGTTGTATAGTCATAAAATATTTTAGAAGGAACTCAGGAAAGTGGTAATGGTGGTTTTCTGTGGATTGGAAAGGAAACTTAAACTCTTCATTGTATACTCTTTTGAACTATTTTTTTCCCACCTTTTACGTATATTACTTTTGAAAACATTAATTTGCGAATTCTCATTGAAGCAATGTGGGCTTTTTGAAAGTTTTAATAAGCTTTTTATTGAAGTGTTAACATACATGCAGAGAAGTACAGAAATTATAAGTGAACAGCTCAATAAACTTTAACACACCCTAATTGCCATCACCTGGATCAAGCAGAATTACCAGCACAACAGAAGCCCCCCTTGTGACCTCTCCGTCACTACGCCACCTCCACCTCAAAGATAGCCACTATCCCGACTCCTGACGTGTAAATTAGTTCTGCCTGTTTTTGACTTTTATAAAATATAGCATATACTATTTTGCCTGGCTTCTTTCATTCAGTATTGTGAGGTTCATCCACATTCTTGTATATAGCAGACATTCATTCGTTGTTATTGTTGAGTAGGATTCTGTTATATATGACAATGTCAATTTCTCCATTGATAGATGTTATTTCCAATTTGGGGCCATTGTAAATGCTGCCCTGAACACTTACATGCGACTTGTTTGGTGTGCATGTGCACACATTTCTATTGTGTAGATACCCAGGGGTGGGATTGCTGGGTTACAGTGTATGTATGTGTTCACCTTCAGTGTATGAGGCCTATATAGTATTGTGAAGTCATACCAGGTTAGGCTCCCACCAACAGTTGATCAGAGTTCTAGTTCCACATCCTCGCCAGTAGTTGGCCTCATCAGCATTTTATTTTAAGTTCTTAGTGCCTATCTAGATTTCCATTTTCATTTAGGTTTTGGTCTCTGAGAACTTTCATTATTTTCTTCACAGGTTAACAATATATTTGAAAAGATTTGTTTCTTATAATGCAAGATATTTAATTGTTTTGTAATAAGAGGGTAGTTTAGGATATCAGTCTGCCATTCTGCTAGAAACAGAAGTTTCCCAGACATTACTTTTTCTATAATAGTTAATAATAAAATTTTGAATCATGTTACATGAATGTTTATTAAAATATATTTCAGGACATGGCTCCTTTTGTCTAGCCTGTGGTGCTTACTCTTTTTTGAGAAGGTGATTTCTCTGATTTCTTTTATTTTAAAGCATTTTAGGTTCCTACACAGAGAATATTGAATATTAACGTGAATGATGTCTTTAATAATAAATTTAAAGACATAGCAGACATATTCTGTATCTAGTTGATATTGACCTTGGTAAAGCCCTAGGGCAAAACTTTCAACTTATTAACGATTTCTGAGGCAGTTAAGCATTTTGGTCATCTCGGTTTAAGCATGGAACTTAGATTACCTTGAAAATTGAATGTAGAGAGTGTTTTGCCTTCCTCTGTTGTTTAAATCTCTTTTTTTTTTTTTTTTTTGTGAGGAGGACCAGCCCTGAGCTAACATCCAATGCCAATCCTCCTCTTTTTTGCTGAGGAAGACTGGCCCTGGGCTAACATCCATGCCAATCTTTCTCTACTTTATATGGGACGCCGCCACAGCATGGCCTAACAAGTGGTGCGTCGGTGCACATCCGGGATCCGAACCGGCGAACCCCGGGCCGCCGCAGCGGAACGTGTGCACTTAACCGCCTGCGCCACAGGGCTGGCCCCTAAATCTCATTTTTATTGGCTGGCCTTCCATTAGAAACAGAATAAAATTAAACTTCTTAATGAGAATCAGGGATGGGGACATTTTGGCTGCTGATTGGAGGAGGAACTACATCCTTAGATCGATCCAGAGGTTGATAGTCAAGATGAACAGCTAGATTATTCTTGTTAGGCTAGAAAAAAACACCTCAGTGCCTCAAAGATAAGGCCTGAATTTTCCATTAAAAGAAACGTTGGATCTGTTCATCTGCTCTGTTGAGACCCCATAGTCCATCCTGTAGAAATGGGCACAGTTGATTTCTTGAAGAATTACAAGTACATTCTGTATATTTCTGTTTTTGCCTAGGGCTGTGCATCAAGGCAGTCCGTATTTGATGGATGATTGAATCTTCATTTCTGATGGTCCACAGACTCTGGTGTTACTAATCTTGTGGAAAAGTCAATATGTCACAGTCTTTGTGTTATTTTTCTTTTCAGCCAGTTGTGAGGCAAAAGAAACATTTTAATTCACTGCACATTCCAAAAGCCTTGCAGAAGGCACTGCCGTTTAAGAACAAGCCCAAGACCCAGGCAAAGGCAGGCAAGATGCCGAAAGACAGGCTGAGACCAGCCGTCGTACGGGAGCCTCATGAAAGGAAGGTACTGTCGACGGATGGCTTCCTACTTGTTGCATTTAGACGTGAAAATAATGCTTTCAGCAGCACACTTGGTATTTCTACTACATTCTCATTTTTCATCAGGGAAGGATAAGGGCCAGACTTGACTCAAGGCACTGGAACTGGAAGTTAGAGGAAAGGCCAGAGTCCATTTCCCTTCTTTTGTTTAGTCATGCTCTGCCTTATGCATCTTAATGAGGGGGTAATAGGCACACAGCTGTGAATCACTCTGTCTTAGTTGTAAGTAGTACCCACAGAGTGGTTAACAAAGGGGGTTTTGTGGTGAAGGTCATTATTTAAGTATTTTGCTAAATCAATATGCTCCTACTTATATCTCCAGGCAAATTATGATTTCCTAGTTCAGGATAAGTTTTCACTAGGTTAATATTCATTTGGATCATGGATTGATTCTAGTTTTGATACAGTCAGCTGAAGTGTTTGGGCCCCTGGTGCTTAGAAGGGAAGCATGCTGTGACTGTTAAGGATATTGTAATGCTCACTAGGTTTTGTCCTTGTCAGATCCTTGCACTGCTGGATGCTCTGAGTACCGTACACAGTCAGAAGATGAAGAAGGCCAAGGAGCAGCGGCATCTGCATAATAAAGAACACTTCAAAGTGAAGCAGAAGGAGGAAGAAGAGAAACTGAAGCGACAGAAGGACCTCAGGAAGAAGCTCTTCCGAATTCAGGGTCAGAAAGAGAGAAGAAATCAGAAGTCTAGCTTGAAGGGGCCTGAGGAGCAGTCACAGTGAGCTCCAGGCAGATAGACTGTCGTTTGGATCTGCAGAGATGGTTTCAAATATTGTAGTCCTTGTAAATGAGAAGTCAGGGGACGAGCCCCAGAAAGACGTCTTTGTTGGCTATATCGCCCAGACTGTGCCTTTGAGAGGAGAGGTGGAAGCTCTGCTGGTAGGACACCTGTTCATTCTCAGCATCTAGGTTATGTCAGGATTAAAGCAATATAATTTATGATTTTGTAGATTCCCTCACATTCCTCTTACCTGTCTCAGTTTGATTATTTGTGCTACAAAAATATCATTAAAATATTTTCCTGTTAATTTTGGCGTAGTAGTTTTCATTAGGGATGAATGCTTGATGATTGTGGATGCTTGCTTATTCTGCCACCTTCATGATGAGTCTTCCAGAACGGGAAACAATATTAACTTGAAACGTCAGCCTTAAAGGAAAGTTTTAGAGAAGGATGTATGATGCGACGCGGAGCCCTGTTTCCCAGAGGCCACGTGGTGTGCGGTAGTGCAAGAGCCTGACTGCAGATAGGAGAATCCAGCTGCCTTTTGTAAGCCAGACTTAGACACTTGCAAAAAGGTAAAACAATGCCACTTTCCCACAAATTATTTTTGCTTTGGAAAATATTTTTCACAAGAATATGCTATTTGTGTTACCATATAATGGGCTTGTTATTGTTCTTTTAAAACAAATTAATAAAAAATACATTAAATTTTTCTCAGCTTTAATTTCTTATGTAGTAAAAATTGATAGATACAACTCACATGAAAAAAACTCTTTGAGATCCTCGATCGTTTTTAAGAGTGTAAAGATCTTAAGATCCAAATTTCTGGGAGCTGCTGCCCTGAACTGCTCCCTCCTGAGATGGCCACCTGGTGCTGCTCACCACTGTGTACCCAGACCTGATACTATCAGTGCTGGGCACCTCATGGGGGTGCAATAGACAAGGAGGAATTAATTAAATTCCTGCTCTATCGCTGAGTGTGCTTCAGGATTTTTCCATACCTGCCAAGATGCTGTGGCCTGGCAGCAGGTGCACAGGGAGACAGAAGGGGAGCTGCCGCTCTGCTTTCTGCCTCCCTCAGCCATCTGAGCATGCTCCACCTCCCAAGACCCCCGGTGTGGGAGGTAGCTTGCCAGTCTTTTAAAGCAACAATGTGCTTTAAAAACCATAAGTTCTAGCAAAGTTATCAAAGAATGTGATGAAAACCTAGCAGGGAAGTTGCTATCTAATTGGAGCTATTTCACCGTCCTCTTCAATTTCCTTTCCTTCCCGTGAACTCCTGACTGAACAAGGCCCTGGCGCACAGGGCTGGCTTGACTCGAGGAGACATAGCCTGGCCCATGCAGCTCGCTGGCCCCCGCTGAGGGAAGGCAGTGAGAGCCCCAGCCTGGAGGGCTGGTGGGATCAGGCTTTCCCCTCTGGACGATGCTGTCTGATAGAATTACAATGCTACCACGTTAACAAAAGGGAAAAGAAAACAGGTGAAATGAATTTTAATATTTTTATTTTTAAGCCAATATATCAAAAATATTATCATTGCAACATATAATCAATATAAAAATCATTAATAAGATATTTGATATTCCTATTTTTTGCCAAGTCTTTGAAATTTGGTGTATATTTTACTCTTTCAGCACCTCTCAATTCAAATGCTAAATTTTGTGGAAAATACATGATCTCTATTTAAATTTCACAAAATTTATAGTTAAAAAAAGCAAGATTCACATACCATGGTTGTTTCAAATATAACTGAACCTAGTGCCAGTTTTAAAATTTTTTTCTTTTCTTCTTTTTTTTTGTGAGGAAGATTAGCCCTGACCTAACATCTGTTGCCAATCCTCCTCTTTTTGTTGAGGAAAATTGGCCCTGGGCTAACATCCGTGGCCCATCTTCCTCTACTTTATATGGGACTCTGCCCCAGCATGGCTTGACAAGCCGTGCATTGGTCCGCACCCGGGATTTGAACCCGTGAACCCTGGGCCGCCGAAGCGGAGTGCGCTTAATCACTATGCCACAGGGCCAGCCCCTAAAATTTAAATTTAGACTAATTAAACAAATTTCCAGTTCCTCAGCAGCAGTCACACATATCTATTGCTTGATGGCCTGTGTGGCCAGTGGCTATGTTGAGGACAGTGTGGCTCTAGACGTAGTGTAGGAGATCAGGGAAGGCTTCCTTAAGGAAGTAACCATGATCTATAATCTGAAGAAGCAGGTTAACTTGGCAAAGGGTAGGAGGCAGGCTGTCAGGCAGCAGGAATGTATGTGCAAAGGCCCTGTGGCACAAGGCAGCATGATACCTGCAAGCCAGTGGTTGGAGCCAGGACAGGCAGAGAGTTGCAGGGAGCTGGAGAGGAAAATGAAGAAGGAAATGGAGAGGTAAGTAATGAGGCTGGGGTTGTGAGGCTGCATTAAGATGCTATCTTTATCCCAAGATACTGAGAAGCCCTTGCAGAACACTTACCTCGGGCAACATGGTCAGATTTGCATTTTTGAAAAATTCCCTTTACTCCTGGGTAGAGAATAGTTTGGAGGGAGTCCAGGGATAAGTCCTGGGAGGAGGCTGACACAGGAGTGCTGGAAGGTGGTACAGAGAGGAATTGGATGCTAGAGCTTTAGGAGATAACATTGGAGGTCTGTTGGATCTGGGGGTTGTGAAGAACAGTGGGTTTTCAGAGAAGCCCCCAGGACTCCCAGGTGTCTGGCTTGCACTGGGGACTGAGCTGGCTGAGATGGGTAGAGTGATGAGCTCGGTTTTAGGGCGTGGTACCCGTGGAAGCATATGGAAACGTCTGAGGAGGTAGTTAGGAATACTGTCTGAAGCTCAGGCTGATATTTTATCTGGGTTTACAATGCGCTCCTTGGAGACATCAACACCTACCTGGGAGTGGAGGGAATTATCCAGGGAGGGTCAAGATTGAACACAGGTGGGTCTTAGTTCAGCATTCTTTCCGTTGGTTCAGTATCTTCACATACCTCAAAGAAGATCACCAAGTCCAACCCGTATATGCAGACCAGTGCCCAAGAAGCCCAAGTGATCTGCTGAGCCTCACATGACTAAAAGCTGAGCTGGTCCAGCTAAGTAAGGCTGTGCACAGAAGCCAGACATGTAAGTGACGTCAGCAAAGAGGGTAGCCTGTCTTTCCCAGTGTCTTAGACCACTACACACAGACTTGACCATCCCTGTGCTGAGGTGCAGAGAGGGTCTGGGTAGGGGACTCCAGGCTCTGCCACTCACCGTGATGTGACTCTGGGCAAGTGCCTGAGTATCTCTGAGTTTCAAGTTTCTGGTCTGTAAAATGGGGATAATAAACCAATCTTGCAGTGTGTGAGGATTTTATGAGACTACGTACAAAGTGACTGGTACAGAGGGGACTTTTAAATTTTTTATCTACCCCCTGGTCTCACTTTAAAGGACTATATAGGTCTATGAATTTTAACACATGTATAGATTCACGTAACACTCCCTCATGCTGTGTAGCCCAACCCTCTCCCAGCCCCAACCCCTGCTAACTACGGATGTGTTTTTCCTCACTTAGCTTTGTCATTTTGAGAATGTAGTGTTAAGTGGAACCACACGGTAGGGAATCTTTTGTAACTGGCTACTCTTACGAAGCATCATGCCTTTGAGATTCATCCCAATTGTTCTGCGTATCACTGGTGCGTTCCTTCTCATTACTAAATAGTATCCAACTGCACAGATAGACCACAGTTGGTTATCCATTCACCAACGGAAGGACATTGTGGTTGTTTCCCGTTTTGGGCAAGTAATCATATAGCTGCTATAAACATTTGTGTAGAGGTTTTTGTGTAAATATAAGTTTTCATTTCTCTAGGGTAAACACCCAGGAGTAGGACTGCTGCTCATATGGTTTAACAGAACAGTCAAACTGTTTTCCAGAGTGGCTGCACCATTTTGCATTCCCACCAGCAAGGAAGGAGAGCTCCAGTACTCTGCCTCTTCTCCAAGACTTGGTATTGCCTGTACTTTTTATTTTAGCCATTCTAGTGGATATGTAGTGGTATCTCATTGTGGTTTTACTTTGCATTTCCCTAATGACCAATAATATTGAGCATCTTTTCATCTGCTTACTTGCCTTTCATATACAACGTCCTCTTTGGTGAAGGTTACATTTAAGCATTTTGGCCTACTTTTTATTTTAGTTGTTTTCTTATTGTTGATTTTGAGAGCTCTTTATATATTTTGGCATAAGTCCTTTGTCAGATGTGATTTGAAAATATTTTCTCCTAGTCTATAGCTGTCTTTTCATTCTCTTAGCACTGTCTTTTGCAAAATTTTAAATATTTATCGTCTAATATATTAATTTTTTCTTTATGGATTGTGCATTTGATGACCTAACAACTCTTTTCCTAACCCCAGGTCATGAAGATTTTCTTCTAAAAGTTTTATAGCTCTATGATTTTCATTTTGAGTTAGCTTTTGTATAAGGTGTGAGATTTAGGTTGGGGTTCTTTTTTTTTTAATTTATAGGCAACCAATTGTTCTAATACCATTTGTTGAAAGACTATCCTTTCTTCATTGAAATACATTTACCTCCTTGTCAAAAATCAGTTGGGCATGTTTCTGAGGGTATATTTCTGGGCTCTCTCTTCTATTCCATTAGTGGATGTGTCTGTCCTTTTGCCCCACAACCTTGATTATTGTAGCTTTACATTGTCTTAAAATTGAGTAGTGTGAGTCTTCTAAATGTATTCCTCTTTTTCAAAATTGTTGCAACCATTCTAGGGCCTTTCCCTTTTGGTATAAATTTTAATAAGCTTACCTACATTTACAAAAAAAATCCTGCTGTGATTTTGATTGCATTAAATCTGTAGATGAATTCTGGGAGATTTGACATCTTGACTCTGTCGAGTCTTCCAATCCATGAATGTGGCACGTCTCTCCATTAACTTAGGTCTTCTTCGATTTCTTTCATCACCATTTTATAGTTTTCAGCATATATATCCTGTGCCTGTTTTGTTACATTTATGCCTAAGTTTTTAATTTTGGAGCCATTGCAAATGATACTAATTATTTAAATTTAGGTTCCAAATTTTTCACTGCTAGTTTTTAGAAAAATGATTGATTTTTTGTGTGTTAAACTTATATCCTGCAACTTTACTAGATATATTTATTAGTGCTAGGTCTTTTGGGGTCGGGGGCAGATTCCTTGGGATTTTATACATAGACCATCGTATTGTCTGCAAATAGGTTCAGTTTTTATTCCTTCCTTTCCAACTGTGTGCCTTTTTTTCTTGATGTATTGCACCAGCAAGGACTTCCAGTATAGTGTGGAATTGGAGTGTGAA